CTCTGGCAAAGTTAGTCCCTCTGGCAAAGTTAGTCCCTTGGCAAAGTTAGTCCCTCTGGCGAAGTTAGTCCTTGGCAAAGTTAGTCCCTTTGGCAAAGTTGGTCCCTCTGGCAAAGTTAGTCCCTCTGGCAAAGTTAGTCCCTCTGGCAAAGTTAGTCCCTCTGGCAAAGTTAGTCCCTCTGGCAAAGTTAGTCCCTCTGGCAAAGTTAGTCCTCTGGCAAAGTTAGTCCCTCTGGCAAAGTTAGTCCCTCTGGCAAAGTTAGTCCCTCTGCAAAGTTAGTCCCTTGGCAAAGTTAGTCCCTCTGGCAAAGTTAGCCTCTGGCAAAGTTGGTCCCTCTGGAAAGTTAGTCCTCTGGCAAAGTTAGTCCCTTGGCAAAGTTGGTCCTATGGCAAAGTTAGTCCTCTGCAAAGTTGGTCCCTCTGCAAAGTTAGTCCCTCTGGCAAAGTTAGTCCCTCTGGCAAAGTTAGTCCCTCTGCAAAGTTAGTCCCTCTGGCAAAGTTAGTCCCTCTGGCAAAGTTAGTCCCTCTGGCAAAGTTAGTCCCTCTGGCAAAGTTAGTCCCTCTGGCAAAGTTAGTCCCTCTGGCAAAGTTAGTCCCTCTGGCGAAGTTAGTCCCTCTGGCAAAGTTAGTCCCTCTGGCAAAGTTGGTCCCTCTGGCAAAGTTAGTCCCTCTGGCAAAGTTAGTCCCTCTGGCAAAGTTAGTCCTCTGGCAAAGTTAGTCCCTCTGGCAAAGTTAGTCCCTCTGGCAAAGTTAGTCCCTCTGGCAAAGTTAGTCCCTCTGGCAAAGTTAGTCCCTCTGGCAAAGTTAGTCCCTCTGGCAAAGTTAGTCCCTCTGGCAAAGTTAGTCCCTCTGGCAAAGTTAGTCCCTCTGGCAAAGTTAGTCCCTCTGGCGAAGTTAGTCCCTCTGGCAAAGTTAGTCCCTCTGGCAAAGTTGGTCCCTCTGGCAAAGTTAGTCCCTCTGGCAAAGTTAGTCCCTCTGGCAAAGTTAGTCCCTCTGGCAAAGTTAGTCCCTCTGGCAAAGTTAGTCCACTCTGGCAAAGTTGGTCCCTCTGGCAAAGTTAGTCCTCTGGCAAAGTTAGTCCCTCTGGCAAAGTTAGTCCCTCTGGCAAAGTTAGTCCCTCTGGCAAAGTTAGTCCCTCTGGCAAAGTTAGTCCCTCTGGCAAAGTTAGTCCCTCTGGCAAAGTTAGTCCCTCTGGCAAAGTTAGTCCCTCTGGCAAAGTTAGTCCCTCTGGCAAAGTTAGTCCCTCTGGCAAAGTTAGTCCCTCTGGCAAAGTTAGTCCCTCTGGCAAAGTTAGTCCCTCTGGCGAAGTTAGTCCCTCTGGCAAACGTTAGTCCCTCTGGCAAAGTTGGTCCCTCTGGCAAAGTTAGTCCCTCTGGCAAAGTTAGTCCCTCTGGCAAAGTTAGTCCCTCTGGCAAAGTTAGTCCCTCTGCAAAGTTAGTCCCTCGGCAAAGTTAGTCCCTCTGGCAAAGTTAGTCCCTCTGGCAAAGTTAGTCCCTCTGGCAAAGTTAGTCCCTCTGGCAAAGTTAGTCCCTCTGGCAAAGTTAGTCCCTCTGGCAAAGTTAGTCCCTCTGGCAAAGTTAGTCCCTCTGGCAAAGTTAGTCCCTCTGGCGAAGTTAGTCCCTCTGGCGAAGTTAGTCCCTCTGGCAAAGTTAGTCCCTCTGGCAAGTTAGTCCCTCTGGCAAAGTTAGTCCCTCTGCAAAGTTAGTCCTCTGGCAAAGTTTAGTCCCTCTGGCAAAGTTAGTCCCTCTGGCAAAGTTAGTCCCTCTGGCAAAGTTAGTCCCTCTGGCAAAGTTAGTCCCGCTGGCAAAGTTAGTCCCTCTGGCAAAGTTAGTCCCTCTGGCAAAGTTAGTTCCTCTGGCGAAGTTAGTCCCTCTGGCAAAGTATACCTGGAGATACCTGGAGAGGGTTCCGGAGATGAACGCCCCCGCGGCCACATCTGTGACTAGGCGTCGTCTAACCAACACTTTCTTGAACCAGAGGTTCATATAATACTATGGAAAAACTGTTGCTTGATGAATACGTTGGGTAAACTGGGATAAATCTAGAAGCAAGCGTAAGTGAACATAGTGACGTGTGCAGATAAATGTTTTAGTTCCCCCTTGTGTCTCTTTACCTAACATAACGTCGGTAACTTAACTAATAGTATTTACTTTTAGTTGTGTCGTCTGAGCGCTAGTTTATTGTACAACCGCAATTCATCCTGTCAGCTCTAGCACAATAAACAAGATTACAAAGGTCACAATAATAATTTTTTATTATTATTAACACATCGGCCGTTTCACTCCATCACTGTCTTGCCAGAGGCGTCCTCACACTAGCTGTAAAACTGCAATATTAACACCCCTCCTTCAGAGTGCAGACACTGTACTTCCCATCTCAAGGACTCAAGTCCGGCCTGCCGGTTTCCCTGAATCCCTTCATAAATGATACGTTGCTCACACTCCAACAGCAGGTCAGGTCCTAAAAACCATTTGTCTCCATTCACTCCTATCTAACACGCTCGCTACGCATGCTTGCTGGAAGTCCAAGCCCCTCGCACACTAAACCTTTGTCCCCTCCCTCCAACCTTTCCTAGGCCGACCTCTACTGCGTCTTCCCTTCACTACAGATTAATACACTCTCGAAGTCATTCTATTTTGTTCCATTCTCACTACATGTCCGAATCACCTCAACCCCCCCCCCTTCCCGTCAGCTCTCTGGATAATAGTTTTGGTAATCCCGCACCTTCTCCTAATTTCCAAACTACGAATTCTCTGCATTATATTCACACCACACATTGCCCTCAGCCACGACATCTACACTGCCTCCAGCCTTCTGCTTGTTGCAACATTCACCACCCATGTTTCACACCCATATAAGAGCGTTGGTATAACTATACTCTCAAACATTCCCTTCTTTGCTTCCATGGATAATAATAATAATAATAATAATAATAATAATAATAATAATAATAATAATAATAATAATAATAATAATATCTATTTCTACAAATACGTTTATGTCATTGACATCAGTGACATACTACTACATAGAAAGCCGCTTGTTAGGCAGAGCATTTCTGGTAAATTAGGTCAGTTTTGTCCCAGGATGCGACCCACACCAGTCGACTAAAACCCAGGTACCTAGTTTACTGATGGGAGAACATTAACAGCAGGTGTCTTATGGAAAAAGTCCTAATATTTTCCAGCCCTACCCGGGATCGACCCCCAGACCTCAATGTGTGAGCCGAGTGTGCTAACAATCGAGATAAAGGACACCTTAATGGGTCTTTGTTAGATCCCACTAAGAATTAAGTAAGTTTATTCAGGTACATAATATAGTTACATAAACTGTCATAGACATCAGTATGTGTGTAGATTACCCAGAATAAACCCCCAAAAAAGTCAGATATTGTTACATACTAGAAAGAAATATTCATTTTATATAGTTAATATACATAGCATGGTATAATTAATATACATAGTATGGTGTAATTAATATACATAGTATGGTATAATTAATACACATAGTATGGTGTAATTAATATACATAGTATGGTATAATTAATACACATAGTATGGTGTAATTAATATACATAGTATGGTATAATTAATACACATAGTATGGTGTAATTAATATACATAGTATGGTATAATTAATACACATAGTATGGTGTAATTAATATACATAGTATGGTATAATTAATATACATAGTATGGTATAATTAATACACATAGTATGGTGTAATTAATATACATAGTATGGTATAATTAATACACATAGTATGGTGTAATTAATATACATAGTATGGTGTAATTAATATACATAGTATGGTATAATTAATATACATAGTATGGTGTAATTAATATACATAGTATGGTGTAATTAATATACATAGTATGGTATAATTAATATACATAGTATGGTGTAATTAATATACATAGTATGGTATAATTAATATACATAGTATGGTATAATTAATATACATAGTATGGTATAATTAATATACATAGTATGGTATAATTAATATACATAGTATGGTGTAATTAATATACATAGTATGGTATAATTAATATACATAGTATGGTGTAATTAATATACATAGTATGGTATAATTAATATACATAGTATGGTGTAATTAATATACATAGTATGGTATAATTAATACACATAGTATGGTGTAATTAATATACATAGTATGGTGTAATTAATATACATAGTATGGTGTAATTAATATACATAGTATGGTGTAATTAATATACATAGTATGGTAAAATTAATATACATAGTATGGTGTAATTAATATACATAGTATGGTATAATTAATATACATAGTATGGTGTAATTAATATACATAGTATGGTGTAATTAATATACATAGTATGGTATAATTAATACACATAGTATGGTGTAATTAATATACATAGTATGGTGTAATTAATATACATAGTATGGTGTAATTAATATACATAGTATGGTATAATTAATACACATAGTATGGTGTAATTAATATACATAGTATGGTATAATTAATATACATAGCATGGTATAATTAATATACATAGTATGGTGTAATTAATATACATAGTATGGTATAATTAATATACATAGTATGGTATAATTAATATACATAGCATGGTATAATTAATATACATAGTATGGTATGGAATAAGATCTCATGTATTGTGTACATCAACTACAGGAAGTAATTGTAATATATAAAATGATTTTCTATAGCTCCTGGGACGGTAATAGGGACTATCCTTCTCTGGAAAGGAAACGTTACTCAAATTTCTTGGAAAAAGAGCCCTTCACAGGAATCATTAGTGTTTTAGGAACAATGTTTTGCGGATTTTGTCGTAATTTTGAATGTAAACTCCATAAATGTGAAATAGTCACTATTATGTCTCTAGTTTTCTAAACATTGGACATAGCGCATGTGCAACGCTTGAGTATCTTTATTGAGGAAACGTTTCACCACACAGTGGCCACTGTGTGGCGAAACGTTTCCTCAACGTGTCGGTTCTCTGAACCATTCATCTACAATTGGACTTCGCATTTGAACTTTTTATAAACAAAAAAAATATCTGTAAAGACCTAAACACACAAAACCTGAAGATAAATAAAATTTGGAATAATTCTGACCTGGGTTCATTGAGGACGTGGATAATGGCTTGGTAAATCTGTTCCTCTGACGCCTCCTTGTGAACGCCCCGGGCCACTCCTCTCTCCTCCATCCTGATGAGAACATCCTGTTGGTCAGCGAACACTGGCATGCCCACCATGGGCACTCCATGGTACAGCGCCTCCAGTACCCCGTGCATCCCACAGTGGGTGAAGAACAACACCGTCTTGTTGTGCCCTGAACAACAGGTCAAACAGCGTAAGAACATTATAAAGTACTACAACAGGCCTATTGACCTAAGCAACAACTCACACAAAATAACAATTCACTCAACAAATAGAATCACTAAAGAAGGCCTACTTGCCTGAAGATAATTTCTAATTAGGCCTATAAATCTGCACAATTCACACTAATAGCACTACAATAGACCAACTGGCGTGAACAACAATGCACACTCAGTTTAAATATATGGCCGTTACAGTAGTCCTCCCTGGCTAGTCAGGTTCTGATCACAGAAACCCATTTATACTCATGGAAATAAAGATATGTACGTAACAATTATTGTATTTTATGAGACTTTTCCCACACTGTGGGCTTTATTAATCCAATACATAAAATGAGAAAAACAAAATATATACAAGGTAGAGGTCAGGAGGAAAGGGATGAGGTCCAGTAAGGTCAGGTGCCAGTGAGTGATTCACCTGTTCAATTAGCGTGTGGTGGGGAAGAGACAGTTTAGTGAGGACACTTGTTATGCTATACCTTCCAGAGTTGTGAGCTACAGTGCTGGACGCTAAGGTCAGGGCTGCCTGGAGACAACAGGCAATGTTCCTTTTTCGGATCATTCTCCTTTACAACCAGTGTGGCTTCTTTTCATGTCATCAGGTGCTCTTGCACATCAAATGTTCTTGCACATTAGAGTGCATCACAAAAGCAGTATTCAAGTCTCTGTTGTAGGCATGTTTGTGCTTCAGTACGCTGAGGTCAGTGGTCAGTATGCTGAGGTCAGTGGTCACCTGCGGTCATACCTGCCTAAGCTCTTGGGTGTTAGCGTGGGGTGTTACCAAGCACCATGGCTTGTTGTAGTGTTTTAGAATCTCAGGTTCAAGTGTTGAAGAAGGAGATTCTACTTCTTCAGGAGGAAAATAGGAAGCTGAAGCTTCGCATAGATGAGTTTGGGAGTGAATGTGAGAAGGATTTAGGTGGTAAGGAGGAAATGGTCACCAGCAGTGAGAGTGGCAGCTGCTTTAAGTGGCAAGTGGTTTACAGTTCAGGAAGAAGGAAGATGAGGAGAGTAAATAGAGAACATGTGAAGGTAGGAAATCGATTCTCTGTTCTCCCAGTGTTCTTCAGTGGTTAGTGAGGTTGAAGGTACCGCTGATTCCCCTGCTAATCAAGGTAAGAATATTTTAATAGGCAATTCTCAGATAAGATATATGGACTGTGCATTTTGTAACAGAGACAGAAAGGTCAGACAGAGAGTGTGTCTTCCTGGAGCTGGTGTTGGTGACATAGTCAGCAGGTCGGATAATATTATGGCAGGTAATGGGAACAAGCTCATTATCTGTCTTAGTGCTGGGGGTAATGACATTGGGAAGGGCGGGAGAGAGGAGCTGCTGGATAAGTACAGGTCAGTCATAGAAGTAGTTAGGTCTAAGGAAGGGATCCCAGTCATATGTAGCATCTTGCCTAGAAAGGGAGTGGGCAATGGATGGATGTCTAGGGCAATTGGTATAAATTGCTGGCTAGACAGGTACTGCAAGGAACTTGCAATCCCATTCATTGATAACTGGGACCTATTCTTTTGCAAACGTGATATGTATGCAAGGGATGGGGTTCATCTCTCTGGGGATGGAGTGGTTGCATTAGCCAATTCAGTTGAGAGGGTAATTGATGACTTGTCTAGGAATTGAAACTGATAGATTATAGAGGTATGGGTGTTTGTGGGAAACAATCAGGCTGCAGCATTAGGGTTAAAAACAGCAGTTATTACTGGGATACCTCAGGGATATGTTTAAAAGACAATATTCAAAATAAAGTTGCTAGTAATGGCAAATCAACTGATCAACAAACAAAGAAAGATAGTAGAGGGCAACGAGTGACTAGCTCCCTTAAGGTTTACTATACAAATAGTAGGAGTTTAAGAAATAAGATAGATGAGCTAAAATTACTTGCAAGTGAAGGTAATATAGATATTATTGGTATAACAGAGACCTGGTTCAACCTGAAAGATAGAGAAATGCCTTCTGAATGCAACATACAGGGTTATAAACTATTCCACACTGATAGGGTCAACAGGAAGGGTGGTGGAGTGGCAATGTCAGAGAAAATTTAAATTGCTGTCTTAAACATGATATCAGATCAGAAACATCGAACACAGAATCTGTTTGGCTACAGTTTCTCGATGGACGTGCCAAATTAATTCTGGGTGTGATTTATAGGCCCCCAAACCTTGATAGGGAGTGCAGTAAGCTGTTATTGGACGAAATTCATAAGGCATCTAGATATGAAAATGTTGTGTTAATGGGAGATTTTAACTTTAGATAAATTGATTGGAACAATATGACAGGAAATCTTGAGTCTAGTGACTTTCTTGATACGGTTCAGGATTGCTTTTTAGAACAGGTTGTGACGGAACCAACTAGAGGAAACAATCTGCTTGACTTGGTTCTTGCCAACAAAGATTCACTAATCTTGAGGTTAATGATGAGCTTCGGGAAAGTGATCACAAATCACTTAGTTTCAATATATCATGGAATTACCCAGATAACTGCAATCAAATCTCTGTCCCAGATTTTCGCTTGGCCGACTTCATGGGACTGAAAAATTACCTGGGTGGGCTAAATTGGGATAACCTGACTACGGGTCAGGTAGGTGATCTTGGTTGCCAGTATGACGTCTTTCAGAGCATAGTTCTAGTTGCCCAGACAACTTTTGTTCCGAGCAGGGAAATTAGATCTAACAAAAATGATCCCAAATGGATGAACAATAGATTAAAACATCTCATTGGTCAAAAGAGAAGCATATATAGGCATATCAAAAGAGGGGATGGGCAGTTAAGAAATCAATATATTCAATTAAAGAGAGAAGTAAAGAAAGGAATAAGAAAAGCAAAAAGAGATTTTGAGGCTAAGGTCACAAGGGATTCAAAGACTAACCCAAAAGGGTTCTTTCAGGTATACAGAAGTAAGATTAGGGACAAGATTGGCCCACTTAAGAGTAACTCTGGTCAGATCACTGACAGTGATAAGGATATGTGTGAAATTCTAAATACCTACTTCCTCTCAGTTTTCACCCAGGAAAATACTAGCGATATTCCTGAAATAATAGATTATGTAGAACAGGATAATAAACTATGTACAATTGCGGTAACAAATCACTACAAACTGGCATAGTGCCTGATAAGTGGAAAATGGCAAATATAATACCTTTTTACAAGGCAGGTGACAGGTCCTTGGCTTTGAACTATAGACCAATAAGCCTTACCTCCGTAGTGGGAAAATTTATGGAATCAATAATTGCTGAAGCAATTTGTAGCCATCTTGATAGACACAGATTGATTAATGAATCTCAACACGGTTTTACAAAGGGGCGTTCCTGTCTTACGAATTTACTAACTTTTTTCACTAAGGTGTTTGAGGAGGTAGATCCTGGTAATGAATATGATATTGTGTATATGGACTTCAGTAAGGCTTTCGATAGAGTTCCACATCAGAGGCTATTGAGGAAACTTAAGGCACACGGAATAGGAGGAGAATTTTTTTCCTGGGTAGAGGCATTGTTGACAAATAGGCAGGAAAGAGTTTGCATAAATGGGGAGAAATCAGAATGGGGGCACGTCACAAGTGGTGTTTCTCTGGGGTCAGTGTTGGGCCCGTTGTTGTTCACAATTTACATAAACGACATAGATGAGGGAATAAATAGCGACATAAGCAAATTTGCTGATGACACCAAAATAGGCCATCCAATTCATTCTAATGAGGACACTAGAGCACTCCAGGATGATTTGAATAGACTGATGCAATGGTCGGAGAAGTGGCAGATGCAGTTTAATATTGACAAATGCAAAGTTCTAAATGTTGGACAGTTAAATAACCATGCCACACATAAACTAAATAATGTAGATCTTAATACTACTGATTGCAAAAAGGATTTAGGAGTTCTGGTTAGCAGTAATCTAAAACCAAGACAACAGTGCATTAGTGTTCACAATAAAGCTAACAGAATTCTTGGCTTCATATCTAGAAGTATAAATAATAGAAGTCCTCAGGTTGTTCTTCAATTCTATATATCCTTGGTTAGGCCTCATTTAGACTATGCTGCTCAGCTCTGGTCACCGTATTACAGAATGGATATAAATGCCCTGGAAAACGTACAGAGGAGGATGACAAAGATGATCCCATGTATCAGAAATCTTCCCTATGAGGATAGACTGAGGGCCCTGAATCTGCACTCTCTCGAAAGGCATAGAATTAGAGGGATATGATCGAGGTGTATAAATGGAAAACAGGAATAAATAAAGGGGATGTAAATAGCGTGCTGAAAATTTCCAGCCAAGACAGGACTCGCAGCAATAGTTTTAAGTTGGAAAAATTCAGATTCAGGAAGGATATAGGAAAACACTGGTTTGGTAACAAAGTTGTGGATGATTGGAACAAACTCCCGAGTACAGTTATTCAGGCTAAAACGTTGTGTAGTTTTAAAAATAAGTTAGATAAATACATGAGTGAGTGTGGGTGTGTGTGAGTTGGATCTGACTAGCTTGTGCTGCTGGGTCTGATTTCGTGCTCCATCCTTGAGTGGAGGTGACCAGACTGGGTGGGTCATTGGGCTAATCCGGGGATGTTGGGTCATTGGGCTAATCTGGGGAGGGGGACATGGACCTGCTCCGCATGGGTCAGTAGGCCTGTTGCAGTGTTCCTTCTTTATTATGTTCACTCGTCTGGTCAGATCCTTCACATACACCTTGTTCAGTCCCCTAAAGCTTCATTTTAGCTAACCCAAATAAGGAACTTATAAATGCATTGAGTCTCTCATCCGCAGCAATAAAACATGGATAGGTCACACAGATAACAGTCTCGCATTTTGTTGACATATCCCAAAAGACTCGATATCAACCACTGTGCTATCCAAAATCAGCGTAGAACTATCCACGAAATTCATGATAGAAGAAAAGAATAAACTTCTGTTCCTGGACAGGATGGGGCTAAGCTAACCTTCATAGCTGACAGAAAGTCCACGAACACAGACCACCTGCCACACTTCTACTCACATCATGACACACTGATTAAGAGAAGAGAGGCTGTCATCGGATGCTTCTGCATAAAAGCATGGGATTTGAAGAACACAGTTCCTCGAAGAGGAGTGTGGCCACATTTTAATGTGTTCACACGATGTGTTCACACGACTAGATATCAGATTGGAGAGAAAGAGTATGGAGGAGGTGAATGCATTCATATATTTAGGAGTGGACGTGTCAGCAGATGGGTCTATGAAAGATGAGGTGAATCATAGAATTGACGAGGGGAAAAGGTGAGTGGTGCACTGAGGAGTCTGTGGAGACAAAGAACTTTGTCCATGAAAGGAAAGAGAGGGAATGTAGGAAGGTATAGTTACACCCACATTCATATATGGGTGTGAAGCATGGGTGGTAAATGTTGCAACAAAGAGAAGGCTGGAGGCAGTGGAGATGTCAAGTCTGAGGGCAATGTGTGGTGTGAATATAATGCAGAGAATTCGTAGTTTGGAAATTAGGAGAAGGTGCAGGATTGCCAATACTATTATCCAGAGGTCTGAGGAGGGGTTGTTGAGGTGATTCGGACATGTAGAGAGAATGGAACGAAATGGAATGACTTCGAGAGTTCTTGTAGTGAGAGGAAGGCAGGGTAGGCATAGATTTAGGAAAACCTGGAGGGAGGGGGTACATGAGGTTTTGTGTGCAAGGGGCTTCGACTTCCAGCAAGCATGTGTGAGTGTGTTAGATAGGAGCAAATCGAGACAAATGATTTTTAGGACTTGATGTGCTGTTGGAGTGTGAGCCAGGTAACATTTATGAAGGGATTCAAGGAAACCGGCAGGCTGGACTCAAGTCCAGCCTGCCAGTTTCTGTATAGTGTCTGCACTCTGAAGCAGGGGGTGTTAATGTTGCAGTTTTATAACTGCAGTGTAAGTGCACCTCTGGCAAGACAGTGATGGAGTGAATGACGCTGAAAGTTTTTCTTTTTCGGGCCACCCTACCTTGGTGGGAGAAGGCCGAGGTGTTAATAAATAATAAAAAAAAAATAACGATTTCAGCTTCCTCCACACACACTTGAACCGCAGATGCACTCATGTCATTTTACACACAGATATTATCTGGTCCCATTTTATTTGAGGTATCTAGTTCGCACAGTAGTTTTCTCACTTCTTCTGAGGTCACATGTATTGTGTTCACTTCATCTACCTCTGTGGTTCTCTGGTAATGTCCCTAATTCCTCCGAGAATACATCCTAAAATTTCTTGATGAGCTCCTCACAGACTTCCAGGTCATTTCTTGTGAACATTTTTCCCTCTTCGACCTGATTACTTGGTCATTTACTGTTTTCTTCCTCTTGATGCGGCTGTATAGCAACTTTGGATCAGATTTGGCTTTCGATGTTATGTCATCCTGAAACTGTCAAACTGAATGTGTGAATGTGTAACTTACCTAAAACATCTTGTTGAGGAAGCCAGGAGACCACCTTAACGTTGTGCGGTGGTTTGGGGTGCTCCCCCTCCAGCTTCATTAACACCTGAAAGAAAGAAATCTATAAGTACTCACAGACAATCTAATGCTAGTAGTTTTAAGTAAAGTTGCTGATGGTTAGGAACTTTGTAGCTATGCTGTAGATTCTGTGATTGTGTTGTAAAGTATTGATGTATATGTATGCATATTAATGTAATATTAATGTGTAAATTCAAGGATTATGTGGGTTAAAATAAGGGTAGGATGTGAAAAGTGGGTCATAATAAGCGTGTATGTACCTAGGAAAGAGAGGAGTGTAGAGAAGAGAGAGAGATTTTGGGAGATGTTAAGCAAATGTATAGGAATTTTTGAACCAAGTGAGAGAGTAATTGTGGTAGGGGACCTAAATGCTAAATTTGGGAAACATTGGGTGTCAGTGTAAATGATAAACTGGCCTTTCGATTAAACCCTTTTTTATGAAATAGTTTTGGTTAATTTAATACGAATTTTAAGGAAAGAGGATAAACAAGTATACAAGATTTGATGTAGGGCCTTAAGACGTTAGTTTGTTGGACAAATGTATGGTAAATAAAAGACTGTTGATAGACTTCAGGTGAAAGGGTTAAAGAGGGCCACAGATAAAATCAGGTAGTGGGTACAAGGAAAATAGAAGCAGCAAGTAAGAGAGAGATAAGGGTGTAAAATTTAAAGAGGTGCCAGTTAGGGTAAGATATAAAGCAACTATGGGGGGGATACATGGGAGTGAGAGCATGGGCAATGGGGTGAAGATGTATGGGGTAGGTTTAAGAATGTAGTGTTAGGTGTCAGCAGAAGTTTGTGGTTAAGGAAGGGGTGCAGGAAGGGGAAGAAGAGCGATGGTGGAATGATGTGTAAAGAGAGTAGTAAGGGAGAAAAAAATTGCATAAGAAGTTTTTTACAAAGTAGAAGTGATGCAAGGGGGAATTTGTATTTTGGGAGACAAAAAGAGAGGTTAAGAGAGTGGTGAAGCAATGTAAAAAGAGAGAAAAATGAGAGAGTGGGTGGATGTTATCAACAAATTTTGTTGAAAATAAGAAAAAGGTTTGGAGTTTAAATTTAAGTTGAGGAAGCCTTGGGAACAAATGGATTTGACAGTTAAAATAGAGAGAGTTTTTAAATAAGAGTTAGAGGTATCAGGAAGATGGAGGGAATATTTTGAGGAATTGTTAAATGTTGATGAAGATAGAGAAGCTGTGATTTCGTGTATAGAGCAAGGAGGAATAACATCTTGTAGGAGTGAGGAAGAGTCAGTTGTGAGTGTGGGGGAAGTTCCTGAGGCAGTGGGTAGAATGAAAGGGGGTAAGGCAGCCGGGATTGATGGGACAAAGATAGAAATGTTAAAAGCAGGAGGGGGTATAGTTGTTAAGTGGTTGGTGCTATTAATTCATAAATATATGGAAGAGGGTAAAATACCTGGGGATTAGCAGAGAGCATGCATAGTTCCTTTGTATAAAGGTAAAGGGGATAAAAGAGTGCAAAAATTATAGGGGAATAAATCTGTTGAGTATACCTGGTAAAGTGTATGGTAGAGTTAATATTGAAAGAATTAAGAGTAAGTCGGAAAGTAGGATAGCAGACGAAGAAGGAGGATTTAGGAATGGGAGGGGGTGTTTAGACCAAGTGTTTACAGTGAAACATATAGGTAAACAGTATTTAGATAAGGGTAAAGAGGTTTTTATGGCATTTATGGATTTGGAAAAGGCATATGACAGAGTGAATAGGGGGGCAATGTGGCAGATGTTGCAGGTGTATGTTATAGGAGGTAGGTTACTGAAAGCGGTGAAGAGTTTTTACGAGGATAGTGAGGCTCAAGTTAGAGTATGTAGGAGAGAGGGAGATTATTTCCCAGTAAAAGTAGGCCTTAGGCAAGGATGTGTGATGTCACCGTGGTTTTTTAATATATTTATAGATGGTGCTAGAGTCTTGGCAAGAGATGTGGAGTTAAAAGATAAAGAATCAAATGCAAAGTGGGAGTTGTCACAGTTGCTCTTTGCTGATGATGCTGTGCTTTTGGGAGATTCTGAAGAGAAGTTGCAGAGGTTGGTGGATGAAATTGGTAGGGTATGTAAAAAGAAGAAAATTAAAAGTGAATATAGGAAAGAGTAATGTTATGAGGATAACAAAAAGATTAGGTGACAAAAGACTGGATATCAGATTGGAGGGAGACAAAGACACTTTGTCCTTGGAAGCAAAGAGGGGAATGTTTGGGAGTATAGTTGTACCAACACTCTTGTATGGGTGTGAAGCATGGGTGATGAATGTTGCAACGAGGAGAAGGCTGGAGGCAGTGGAGATGTCATGTCTGAGGGCAATGTGTGGTGTGGATATAATGCAGAGAATTCGTAGTTTGGAAATTAGAAGGTGTGGGATTACCAAAACTATTATCTGAGGGCTGAGGAGGGATTGTTGAGGTGGTTTGGACATGTAGAGAGAATGGAACAAAACAAAATGACTTCGAGAGTTTATAAATCTGTAATGGAGGGAAGGCTGGGTAGGGGTCGGCCTAGGAAGGGTTGGAGGGAAGAGGTATAGGAGGTTTTGTGTGCGAGGGGCTTGGACTTCCAGCAAGCGTGCATGAGCGTATTTGATAGGAGTGAATGGAGACAATTGGCTTTTAATACTTGACGTGCTGTTGGAGTGTGAGCAAAGTAATATTTATGAATGGATTCAGGGAAACCAGCAGGCTGGACTTGAGTCCTGGAGATGGGAAGTACAGTGCCTGCACTCTGAAGGAGGGGTGTTAATGTTGCAGTTTTATAACTGTAGTGTAAAGCACCCTTCTGGCAAGACAGTGATGGAGTAAATTATGATGAAGGTTTTTCTTTTTCGGGCCACCCTGCCTTGGTGGGAATCGGCCAATGTGTTAATATAAAAAAAATACGCATACAAAAAACTGCAAATTCTGACCAGCTCGAAAGATAACAGAGGGCCACTCATATGTAAACAAAGACATGGGTAACCTTCTGACAATGATGCTGATGCTCAATGTTAACAATATTATTTATCAACAATAAGAACTTATCTGACTTAACATCGGATATGATACAGTCTGCAACAACCTCAGTCACAAACAAGTATAAATTCATGTGGAATAAAGTCACAATACCGTGGCTGGAACAGTTTACAAATAATTTGCACCCATCACAAAGTCACAGTTGTGACTTTGTGATAGTTCCTTATGACAATCATCACAAGATTCCTCTCCTAAGTGCGGCTTATTAGTGAGTAAAATCATATGCTCTGAGCCAAAGTCACATTTCTTTTTAACCCTTGTAAACAGTTCATCAGGACCCTGGGATTTGTGTAGCTTCAATCTTTTTATCTGAGGAGGATGTCACTAGTTATCTGAGGAAGATGTCACTAGTGACTTTGATCGTGCAGAACTTCTTTTCGTCCTTACCTATATAAATTTTTATTTAACGAATTTCTCTGTTGTCTTACTGCATAAAAACCAAGAGGAAATAAGTGTTAAAGATGAACACATTCCCTGTCACTGTCACTGAACTGACCTGAGCAACTTTTAAGCTGACCTGTCTTGTCCCTCATCTTACTTCTGTTTACCTAAAAGAAACCCGGGTTAATCTGCGAATCCTTGGTGGTTACTATCAGATTATCTTTTGGCCTTTCTTATTCCTTTTTTTTATATTTTAATTGAATATATTGATTTCTTAATTACTCCTCTTCCCTTCTGATTCGCTTGTAAATGCCTCACGTTTGACCTATGAAATGTTTTAAATTATTGTTTATCTATTTAGAGTTTTTTTTTTGAACTAATTTTCCTGTTTGGAACATACATAGTCTGGGCAGCTAGAACTATGATTTGAAAAACGTCATATCGGCAACCATCGCTGCCTCCTTGACCAACAGGATAATGACCACTTAGACCACATCAGTTCACCCCGCCCAGGTAATTTCTCAGTCTTATGAAATATGCCGAGCGAAAGTCAGGGACACTGACTTGGTTGTAGTTGTTACTGTAATTCCATGATATATTGAGCCTCACTGATTTGTGATTGTTTTCCCCAAGCTTATCATTAACCTCAAGGTTATTAATTAATGATTTTTGTTGGTAAGCACCAAGTCAAGCAGGTGATTTCCTATAGTTAGTTCTGTCTCAAACTGTTTAAAAAGCAATCCTGAATCGTATCAAGAAAGTTGCTAGACAAGAACAGTTATCCTGTTTGTTATGATATATACTAATTTAAAAAAATATATAGTTTAAAATAATTTACATCTTGAAAATATTCAGTCAACAACATTAAAATGATTCTCCTAAAAAAAAAAAGTCCCTGAGATCCATACAGGGGCTCGAGTAATTAATAAAAACATAACAAAGAAAGAAGAAATTAAACAAACAGTGTGCTGGGGATGGCAATATACCTTAGATAAAACTGGACATCGAACTGAACTAAGCTCTTAGTCTGTAAAACTGATCTGTGTAAATAAAAAAAATAAAACTTACCCGGTGTGGGAGTCGAGCAAAAGCGCCCATGAGGTTGTTGATGACATGGGCTGGAACAACGCGAGAATTGAAGATGAAACCCATGGTGAAGAGTATTGTACCAGCCGAGCCAGACCCTCCCACCCACCTCTCCACCTCCTGATACAACCACAACACAACATTAATCATGATACATAGTGTCAATAGGTATAATAACTAAACCATAATACAAAAGAAAATTAAATATTAGAATAAGACCCCAGTGGAAATAAGTCACAGTATTTGACTATTATGTTATCCTAGATTAAATCTGCATAGTACACTTGTTATGTGCCCATAAACACGTGTCTTCCCTTAAATCAGGTGTAAAACAGTACTCGTAGTAAGAGTAAGACCCATGTGTAGACAGTCTGCCTACCTGTCTGTTACACACACCTCCCGCTAGACTAGCTGCTAGAGGGAATTGCTGGCCTGGTTTCAAAAGTGCCCGGCAGATGGCAGACGCCGATGTCTACCCTCGCTTCCTGCCCTCCCTCTCTCTCACTTGCCGCCCTTCGATGCAAAATGAACTGAAGGTAGGCCTATGCCTGTCAAAAGACGGCAGCGCCTGTGTAGAATCGAGGATGTCTGTGGGTTTATGACTGATTAGGTTAGTGATCCTTCTCAAGTCATTAGATCCAGACTAGGAACCTGCCACCCCATTCCTAGATTACCTGAATTGATATTATGTATACTTCTATTCTCACACTGGGCAGTGTGTTGATAGACAGTTGCAGCTGGTAGGTCTCTGGTGGAGGTACAAGCAAGTGGGTCCCATTGTACAAATGCAGATACTTATGTGGAAGGTGCCCCGTGGCCTGATCGCTGAAGCTCCCACTTCACAAGGCGAGGGTCTGCGTTCGATTCCCAGCGAGGGTAGAAACATTGGGCGTGTTTCTTTACACCGGTTGTTTATGCTAACCCATCAGTAAAATGGGTGCCTGGGTGTTAGTCGACTGGTGTCGGTCACATCCTGGGACAAGGGCCTAATTTGCCCTAAATGCTCTGCATAACAAGGGGCTTTCTATATTGTAGCATGTCACTAATGTCAGCTAAGACTGGATACCTTGTACATGTACTTGTAGTAAGATATTATTATTATTATTATTATTATTATTATTATTATTATTATTATTATTATTATTATTATTATAAGGGTGATAAGCCGTGGTACACCTAAAAATACCTGTGTAAGTCACCTGTAACTGTCTCTTAGTATAGCGAACTAGGTATAGCCTCTATGCAGAGCCTGTCGTACGTTAATCCGTGACTCAATATAACTAACTTAGCTTAAATAGGTATAAGTAGCATTGTAAGATACATTAGCCTGTGGACTTCGTTACAGATTGTGTCTGACAAATTAAGAGTATATAAAGAAATGTGGTAGCCCACATAGGCATGGTGGGGATGTAGTTTCCCCTTGTTCCCCTCCTTTCCTCCAACAGGGGAAAGATTTGTAACAGTCCGGAAAATTCAATTGCAAGATGTGCCACAGCACTAGCCTCTTTTTGACTGGTACACAACTGTTGCACACGTGTCTTACTCTTCAGTTGATCTACCTTCTACACAAGACCTAAATGCGAACTCACTCACCTCAGGTAAGGGTTTAGGAGGATGAACTTGTAAGCCGCCCACGTTAATGAAGGAAGGAGGTAGCAGCCTCGGGTAGTCGAGGGCCGAGTGAGAGTTGATCAACATGCCTGACATCTCAGCCAGCAGCGTCCCAGGTGGCGGACAAGACGGCAGGTACTTCTTGATCTGCCACCCCGTTACTGCCAGCTCCACCTGAGAGATTAACGGCAGACACTAGTGTGAGTGGCATACCCAGAGTGCAAGGAGATTGTCACAATTCCATGGCTTTGGACGACTCACAACTAATCGACACGTTGAATATTGAACGCAGACCACCGGTGCTTCGCTTTGTACTAGGCTATTACCAAGTCGACTTTATAATTCACTATGGGCCTAAACGCACAGTTTCCATTTCCAGTGTGTATGAAATGAGATTTGTACCAGAAAACGAAATATAAGTTCTGACCTGCACGCAGCTACTGACCTGCATGACAACATGGCTGCCGATGGCGTGCAAGTGGTTGACTATACGTTGCGGGAAGGTCATTACGTCTCTGTAGTGGGAGAGGATTTGGGGCACTACTGACGGAGGGCTGAAGGCTGTAGTGTACTGAGGTTCTCCTCCGGCGAAGGTGAAGGCCCAGTAACCCACAGACGGAACACCTGCAGCCACCGAGAGAGGACAGAGAAGCATACATTAGGAAAAACAATAGGGAAAAAAGAGGAGGAACTGAAACCAGGACGTAAAAAGAGAGGGGAAGGACTGGGCATGAAATTCTTCAGCAGGACATAAATGTCACCAAGAAGACAGCAATGGCCCACTTGTTGAGTGTAATATTTGTACTGATCACTGGTATATGCCTACAACGTTTATATACTTTTATTGTAGACGAATGGTTCAGAGAACCGACACGTTGACAAATGAGACACATGTGCAACTCTTGGGTATCTTTACTGAGGAAACGTTTCGCCACACAGTGGCTTCATCAGTCCATACATAAGAACATAAGAACATAAGAACGAAGGAACACTGCAGCAGGCATACTGGCCCATGCGAGGCAGGTCCAAGTCTCCTACCGGCTTAAGCCAATGCACCCAACCTAGTCAGGTCAGGTCACCTTGACTTAAGGGAGGAACACGGCATCCGTCCTGGTAGCACAAGCTAATCAGGTCCAACTCACACCCACCCACACCCACTCATGCATTTATCCAACCTATTTTTAAAGCTACACAACGTTCTGGCCTCTAGGACCGTATTTGGGAGTTTGTTCCACTCATCCACAACTCTATTACCAAACCAGTACTTTCCTATATCCTTCCTGAATCTGAATTTTTCTAACTTAAAACCATTGCTGCGAGTCCTGTCTAGGCTAGATATTTTCAGCACACTATTTACATCCCCTTTATTTATTCCTGTCTTCCATTTATACACCTCAATCATATCCCCCCTAATTCTACGTCTTTCTAGAGAGTGCAGATTCAGGGCCCTTAGTCTATCCTCATAGGGAAGGTTTCTGATACATGGGATCAACTTTGTCATCCTCCTTTGTACATAGCATTTATATCCATTCTGTAATACGGTGACCAAAACTGTGCAGCATAATCTAAATGAGGCCTAACCAAGGATGTATAGAGTTGAAGGACAACCTGAGGACTCCTATTATTTATGCTTCTTGATATGAAGCCAAGGATTCTATTAGCTTTATTGCGAACACTTATGCACTGTTGTCTTGGTTTCAGATTACTGCTAACCAGAACTCCTAAATCTTTTTCGCAATCCGTAATATTAAGATCTACATTATTTAGTTTATATGTGGCATGGTTATTGTCCTGTCCAACATTTAGAACTTTGCATTTGTCTATATTAAACTGCATCTGCCACCTCTCCGACCACTGCATCAGTCTATTCAAATCCTCCTGGAGTGCTCTAATGTCCTCGTCAGAATGAATTCGACGGCCTATTTTGGTGTCATCGGCAAACTTGCTGATGTCGCTCTTTATGCCCTCATCTATGTCGTTTATGTATATTGTGAACAGCAGGGGGCCCAACACTGACCCCTGTGGAACACCGCTCGTGACGCTTCCCCACTCTGATTTCTCCCCATTTATGCAAACTCTCTGCTGCCTATTTGTCAACCATGCCTCTATCCAGGAAAAAAATTCTCCTCCTATTCCATGTGCCTTAATTTTCCTCAATAATCTCTGATGTGGGACCCTGTCAAAAGCCTTACTGAAGTCCATATACACAATATCATATTCATTACCATGATCTACCTTCTCAAATACCTTAGTGAAAAAAGTTAATAAATTCGTAAGGCAGGAATGCCCCTTTGTAAAACCATGCTGAGATTCGTTGATTAATTTATGCTTTTCAAGGTGGCTACGAACTGCCTCGGCAATTATTGATTCCATAAATTTTCCCACTATGGAGGTTAGGCTTATTGGTCTATAGTTCGAAGCTAAGGACCTGTCACCTGCTTTGAAAATAGGTATCACATTTGCCATTTTCCACTTATCTGGCACCATACCAGTTTGTAGTGATATGTTGAAAAGATTAGCCAAAGGTTTGCTAAGCTCCTCTTTACATTCCTTTAGAACCCTTGCATACAGCTCATCAGGGCCTGGGGATTTGTTAGGTTTTAATTTATCTATTTGCCTTAGGACCATGTCACTTGTGACCCTAATCGTGCACAGTTTATTATCGTCCTGTTCTACATAATTTATCATTACTGGAATATCGCTGGTATCCTCCTGTGTAAAAACTGAGAGGAAGTATGTGTTAAAAATTCTACACATTTCCTTATCACTGTCAGTGAGCTGACCCGAGGAACTTTTGAGTGGGCCTATCTTGTCCCTGATCTTACTTATGTATACCTGAAAGAATCCTTTTGGGTTAGTCTTTGAATGTCTTGCAACTTTAACCTCAATCTCTTTTTGCTTTTCTAATTCCTTTTTTTATTTCTCTCTTTAACTGAATATATCGATTTCTTAATTGCCCCTCCCCTCTTTTGATTTGCCTATATATGCCTTTCTTTTGACCAATTAGATATTTTAATCTATTGTTCATCCATTTAGGATCATTTTTGTTTGATCTGATTTCCCTATTTGGAACATAATTTGACTGAGCAGCTAGAACTATGCCATACAAAGGAGAATCTTGAAGAACAGGAGGAGAATGAGGTAATCAGTGCCTCAACCTTGAGTCGATGTGGTCAGTCGATCAATCTTGAATAGAATACAGCATATGTGAGGAGAAGGAGCTTATAAACCGTAGGCAGGAGAGGTGCAGCAGTCATAGGTGGTGTCACATTTGTTCAGTGTGGAAGTAGGTCTACAATCCTGTGAGACACTGCAACTTCTTGGGATCTTAATACTTGGGAATTCTTCGCTGGCCTAACCCTTGGGTATGACCTACTTCCACAATGAACAAATGTGACACCACCTACCACTGCTGCACCTCTCTTGCCTACGGTTTATAAGCTTCTTCTCGGCACATATGCTGTATTCTATTCAAGATTGATGGACTGACCACATTGACTCAAGGTTGAGGGACTGATTACCTCATTCTCCTCCTGTTCTTCAAGATTCTCCTTTGTATGGACTGATGAAGCCACTGTGTGGCGAAACGTTTCCTCAATAAAAATACCCAAGAGTTGCACATGTGTCTAATTTATCATATACTTTTATAACTGTTGCTCTGACTAATGTTACTATCCCGCAAAATAACTTACAGATCTCTCGAACAAAGCTTATTATGCATTCTTATCCTCCACCCAAAGTTTAGCTAACCAATACACAAAAAAATACTAGAGGGATTGGTACCAAACTTGCACACGAAAATCACACCCTCCGAAAGCAAAAGTCTCGGCAGGAGATGCAACATTCCCTACTGAAAAGCAGGGCGCCACGAGTACACAGAGATACAATGAGTGTCAGGGGCCAATGACTTGTTAACTGCCTCCCAGCATACATAAGGGGGATTACCAATGGACACCTGGCTGTCTTCATGAAGGCGCTGGACAGGCACCTAAAGTCAGTACCTGATCAGCCGGGCTGTGGTTCTTAACGTCGGTTTATGTCCGGCCAGCAGTAACAGCCTGGTTGATCAGATCCTGATCAACCACGAGGCCTGGTCTCAGACCGGGTGGTGGGGGCGTTAACCTCCGAAACCTCCAGGTATACCCCAGGTATACAGACAGTTTTCACACCGGCCTCAAAGTTACGATCTGTTGCTTCAGTGTTCACAATAAATCGAGAAAGGCAGTATGAAAATTGTATAGTTGACTGCATTTCCCTAAGACAGGAGCTTTTTCAATTCCATATCAGTTACAGGGAACCTTTATTGACAATGTTACCCCCATACAGTGAGCGAAACGTTTTCAGTAAGAGTTCCCTGTAAGTGCATTTGAGAGTCATTACTACTGTGTTGGTGTCGCGTAACATTAAGAAGTCAATAACACTGACGATATTATGGCTCTAAGTTTATTTCAACTTGTCTGGATGACGCACTTCGACTTAAAGTTCTTCAGCCAGCCAGCCAGCCATCCTTGGTGCTTGCTTCAACACTCTGTAGCAACACAACACACTCACCAGCCAGCCATCCTTGGTGCTTGCTTCAACACTCTGTAGCAACACAACACACTCACCAACCAGCCATCCTTGGTGCTTGCTTCAACACTCTGTACCAACACAACACACTCTCCAGCCAGCCATCCTTGGTGCTTGCTTCAACACTCTGTAGCAACACAACACACTCACCAGCCAGCCATCCTTGGTGCTTGCTTCAACACTCTGTAGCAACACAACACACTCACCAGCCAGCCATCCTTGGTGCTTGCTTCAACACTCTGTAGCAACACAACACACTCACCAGCCAGCCATCCTTGGTGCTTGCTTCAACACTCTGTAGCAACACAACACACTCACCAGCCAGCCATCCTTGGTGCTTGCTTCAACACTCTGTAGCAACACAACACACTCACCAGCCAGCCATCCTTGGTGCTTGCTTCAACACTCTGTAGCAACACAACACACTCACCAGCCAGCCATCCTTGGTGCCTGCTTCAACACTCTGTACCAACACAACACACTCACCAGCCAGCCATCCTTGGTGCTTGCTTCAACACTCTGCACCAACACAACACACTCACCAGCCAGCCATCCTTGGTGCTTGCTTCAACACTCTGTAGCAACACAACACACTCACCAGCCAGCCAGCCATCCTTGGTGCTTGCTTCAGCACTGAGTGTAGCAACACAACACACTCACCAACCAGCCATCCTTGGTGCTTGCTTCAACACTCTGTAGCAACACAACACACTCACCAGCCAGCCATCCTTGGTGCTTGCTTCAGCACTGAGTGTAGCAACGAAGAAAGATTGAAGGACCCATAAAATTACATTCACTTGTTAGAGAGAAACGAGGGGAGACTTGACTCGAAGTGTATAAGTGGATGATGGGTATTAATAAAAGTGATTATAGATAAGGTCTTGAGGATATCTCTCAAGAGTGAACCCGCAGTAATGATTCCGACTAGACAAGTTTAGATTTGAAGATTGAGACACTTATGCAACATCCGATGGGAATCTTTATTCAGGAAACGTTTGCCACACAGTGTTCATCAGTCAATACAAGAGGCAGGCGTAAGGAGACGAGGTGAATGA